TGGGGCACAAGTAGGAGCTCACCGTGGGGCACAAGTAGGAGCTCACCACAGGGCACAAGTAGGAGCTCACCGTGGGGCACAAGTAGGCGCTCACCATGGCACAAGTAGGCGCTCACCATGGGGCACAAGTAGGCGCTCACCGTGGGGCACAAGTAGGAGCTCACCGTGGGGCACAAGTAGGAGCTCACCACAGGGCACAAGTAGGAGCTCACCGTGGGGCACATAGGAGCTCACCGTGGGGCACAAGTAGGAACTCACCATGGCAATGTAGGAGATCACCATGGAGCATGTAGACGCTCACCATGGCACAAGTAGGCGCTCACCGTGGCACAAGTAGGCGCTCACCGTGGCACAAGTAGGCGCTCACCGTGGCACAAGTAGGCGCTCACCGTGGCACAAGTAGGAGCTCACTGTGGGGCACGTAGGCGCTCACCGTGGCACAAGCCTGCAGCTCATGGTGCGAGTCACCGTCCTGAAGGAAAGGGAATAGAGGCACGATTTTCTCAACATCTAGCGTGACCACACCAGTGGATCCCAAGAGATGGTTTGGAAAAGGAGGCTGCAGAGGGAAGAAGCAAGCACGCCGGGAGATAAAGAAAGGAAACATCTCCGACGGCAGCCTCCCAAGAGTCAGCCTCATTCAGGCAGGAGAGGGTCACGCACTCRTCTCCGACACCTGTGAGGACCCTGATTTCCACTCACAAGATGGAGAAAGGATGGCGCCGGTGCCCACAGCCTCTCCAGACAGCAGAGTTAGTGAGTGGCAGAACTAGGCCTCGGGCCCCCTCGGTGCTCCCCAGCTTTTACACATGGTGTAACCTTAATGGAAAGTGGAACCGTTACAGTTATGTCTCTGGCTGCTCAGCCTCCAGGAAAGACATGGATTCGACATGGACGTCCATCTAAATGAAACCATGAGGCATTAGAAGAACGTGACTGAGGGGCCGAGGCCCTGTCCCCACATCACAGGGCTGCAGACTTGATGGTCATCCTCAGTGAGCATCTAGCACAGAGAGTGAAGGACAGCGTGTCTGCAAAGGACACAGCCGGATTGACGGGAAAGCCACCCTGGCAGACTGACCTCACTATACCAGTGGGCAGGTTGGGCAGGAAGACAGATCTGCCACTCACCCAGTTTGGACACACATCAGATCGCTGGCATTCTTGATCTCGTGGGCCGAGGGGCAGCCTGAGAATAAGGAGCAGTGAGTCCTCTTGGCTTTGTGATTAGCCCTGTGACCTTGAGTAGTGGCTCACACTCTCCCAGGTTCGGGTTTCCTCAGTGGAGGGCCTGCCAGTGTACAGGGAAATCAGAGTTTTAAAATTACAAAAATAGAGTCTCTGGAGCAAAACCCGTAAACGAGGATAATGACAACCGAAGAACGGCTCTGCACTGACCCAGGCCTGGCCTGCAGCTGCAGCCGTGCAGAGCCTCGGGACATCCCGAGGGGCTGCAGCCCCTGCCACCATCTGTGACGTGAGTGGCCCTCTTGGGTTTGGGCTTCTCTCAAGAGAGGCGGACTTGCCGCCCAGCAGGTGGCCGACTTTGGTGCCCGGTCACCCAATGGAAAGAGCTCTATATTAAGTAAATGACCCTGAGAGTTTGGTAGGCCAGTTGCTAAAAGTGGCATGGCCATATCCGAGCCTCAAGCAACTGCCCTTGCCCTCTGCTGACTTCCGGATGATCCCAGGCGAGAACTGGCCCGAGGATCCACCAACGCTGCTTGGAGGTTCGCTCTCTGCCACGAGGAGGAGGGAGATTCTCCAGCTTGCAGAGTGAAACGGTTGCTCCTGGCCAACACCACCGCCGTTTCTGACCCAGGGAAATGCTTTCTCTGCTCCGCCAGGCCTTCTCTAAGTTCTATGGGATACTGTTAGTAAGTACCCTCGCTGTTGTTAAGAGCACCGAGGCTTGGTTTTTAGGGTGGTTTTTATGAGGGTTCTCCCTTCTCTTTGGAAGCCAGATGGGCAGGTCAGCAGCAGGCACGTTTGCACAGCCGTGGATGGCCTGGAGACCTTTCACTTCTCGCTCTTCTCTCTTCCTAAACAGAAGGAAGGAATAGGAATGCCTTACGAACTGTCCGTGCTCATTCTCTTCCTGCCTGGTGTGGGTTCAAGACTGTTCTACTCCGTTTTTCTTGGCGTTTTGACTTGCAGAGTTTCCTGACTTCCCAGCATCTGTTTTCTGTCCCATGCTACGTGGCCTTTTCCCCTGAGCCTGCTGCATGCTGTCTCCGTCACACGTCGGGGACAGCTGGTCCTGGGGCTCAGGCCGCCCAGTGGCCTTCCCCATCATTTGTTTCTGGGCGTGTTTTTGGTAAGGGCAGTTTGGTCTGTGTGTTTCTGGGGCAGAAGGCAGGAGGAGGGCTCTTTGCCTCTTTCCTTCTAGCCGGTCTCTGGCTCAGTTGCCTTCTCCTTCTCTCTCTTGGTGACCACTTTCTTGTCTGCATTCTTCCTTCCCTGTGACCTCTGGTGCCAGGAGGGGTCGTGGCCCACTGAAGGTGCAGGTGTTGCCTCCAGGACCCTCCCTCCCTTCCTGCTGCCCCTCTGGGAAGGTGTCCCTGCCCCCCTGTCCTTCTTGCCCCAGCACTGGGGCTCCATCCTGTTTCTAGTCCGGGGTCAGAGGAGGAGGGCATCCATCAGCCCCTGCCTAGCATGCACCGTGAACAGGAGCCAGGAGCCTGGCCCATCAGCTTCCTCTAGCTCCTGCGAGCCTCATCTTCTTGCTTCCTTTTCCCTGTTCTGTTGCATGTAACATGGAGAAATAGGTTAACTGCAGGGATGTCTGCAAAATGCTTGGCACTCTTACAACTTGCCTTTKCCTCAAACCCACCGAGCTCCCAATCTTCTGATGATAAGATGCTTGGATAAGGTCCTCAGAAAATGATACGTACCTGGTGGCTTGTGACAGTCCTGGGATACTGTTAGTAAGGGGTACCAGTCAGCAAGCACCGCCGAGCCCAGAGACGTGGGGCACAGCAGGTGCAGTCAGGAAGAGCACCTTGTGGGAGAAAGGCCAGGCGGGGGCCACGGGGAGAGGGCGCCAGACACATGTGACACTGCGGAAGACAGAGGTTGGTCGGGCGGGGATGCTCTTCTGGTGGTCTTCACCCTGGATCAGCTTGGGCAGAGATGGAACCAGGAAACGGGACGTTCTTAGAGCAGGTGGGTCACAAGGGGAAGAGGGAAGAAGGCCCCCCCCTGGGCTGGGCAGGGACAACAGAGGGAGAGAGGAGCCCCGGAGCTCAGACAGTGCCTGACGGCCCCAGGAAGGCCGGACTGTTCATTTCCAGGCCGTCAGAGTTGCCCAGGGGGAGGGAGCAGCCTCAGAGAGGCCSGGCCCCCGGAATGAGCTGGCAACACCTTGGCCTTCTAGAAAGTAGAGGCTTCTGTTTCACTGTTGCCTTTGAAAATCCTCAAGAACATGTGGCACCAACTGTGTGCTATTGGTCACCACAGATGATGCATTCAGTTTGGGACTAGATTCACCAGTTATTTAAAGTTTTTTTTTTTAATGTTCTTACTAAGCTGTGTCATTAAGATGTGTGTGACCATAATGAGCTCCAGAGACATCTGTCTATGACAAGTACCATCAGTGACTTCCCTGAAAAGATGAGGACAGATCTCTGACTCCAACCCAATCACATGGTGCTGATATTCAACCAGTGGCCATTAGAGCTGAGAAAGTTGCTGCTGTAGGCAGTTGTGTCCACTTTGTGCCCAGGAAGCAGGCTTTCCTGATGGGTGACTTGCTTGGTCCCTCAGGTGGTGGTAAAGCTAGGGTGCTGCAGGCAGCTGAGCTTCAGAGCTGAAGTGTATCCCCCACCCCAGAGTGACCGCGTTCCTCACCTGCAGAGGGGAGGCCAGAGCTGGAGGAGCTGAGCCCGCGTGTGCGAGAATGCTCAAGGCCGCGGTGGGTCTTCTTTAGCCGACAACCGCTCTCAAGAATCTCAGGCACAGTGGAAAGAGGTCCGTGGCCTTTGAGGCACAATTCCTGCAGCTGCAGTGACGGGAGGGTGGGATTCAGACAGATGCTGGACAGAGATGCGGCCTGCCCTCACTGCTAGCCTATCACACTTCTGTGCTGGGGACCCAGCAGTCCAGGAATGGAAAGCTGTAGTCGGTTGCTCCCTTATTCTGGACAGGACCATCAGGCACTTTTCCAGGGGAGGCCTGTGTGTGAACAGCCACAGGAGGAGGAGCCCATAGCTTGGGGGTCTGCACTTGGCTCCTGCACCTGCCGTGTTGGGGCGCCTGCTTCGCGGGTGTGATGTCCATCTGCAGGAAAATCTAAGCCCTGCATGCTGGAAGCCACTGAGTCTGTGAGCTGTCCTGGGAATTTTAGAAATTGGCATGAAAATTTCAACACCGCTCTTCTCCTGCTATTCTTATTTAGAGATCCATTCAAGTAAACGCTGCTTGTGCACCATGGGCATTTTTAAAGCTCTTCCTGCTCTGATGGGGAGATACCACACACGCACACGTCCATGCAGGTGCAGTCTGGGGTCCTCCAACAGAGGTCACTCCCAGGAAGTTTCAGGAGGACCCTGAGGGACATTCTCCATCCCAGGTGCCCAGCTGAGATTCCACATCAGTTCAGACACAAGTTCTGTTTCAGGGACGGGAACAGGCCTGTTCTGCTGGACGAGGAAAGACAGAGGCACCAGGCATCAGGAAAGAAAGCTTTCCCTGGGAATGATGGTTCCAGGATAGTACCCTCATGTGCTTAGACGTGGACCACCACGTCAAGAGCGAGGGGCACACAGCTGGGTCACCTTGGGTGGACGTCCATCTGGCCAGACAGCAGTGGTTGTTTTCACAGCAGCTATTTAGAGATGTCATGGGAGAAAAGRTCAAGTATAATTTCATTCAGCAGAACCGGTTAGCCCTGCATCCTGACCTTGTCTGCGGGGAAGAGTACCTCAGCAGACACCCGTCTCAGGAAATGTAGGTCACTTAGAAGAAACCAAGAGGGTTAGAATTCAGCCAGAGCAAGTGGCCCCCTCCTATACCAGGCAGCTGCGTCTTTCAGAAATAGATGTGGTTCCTGGCCCTCAGGCATAGAGACCATTTTTCCTCCAAGGGTGTCCTCAGCCTGGGCAGCAGCTGACTGTGAATGTGTCTGGCAGACTCAGCCGCCACCCCAAGATCAAGACGCAGGTTGTGCCGTCACCGATGGAGATGTGCTGTCACATGCTCTTGTGTGGGCACCAGGGCTGCAAACCAGCCTGCACACGCGTGCTTCCCTGAGCAGGGGCAGGCGGGCAGAGGAAGAGGCAGGCAGGCTCTGCACCCATGCTGGTTGGCAGCACCCTGCCCAGGGTGTGAGGCTCTGCGGGGCCCGTCCTAAGAGGCAGCTGGAGCACAGCACATGCAGCATCCCATGCACCTGGGGCTGGCCTCATGTGCAGCAGCAGGTACAGAACTGTGGGCCCACACTCGTCCCTGCTGAGTCCTGTGGCTTTGCCTATCTCCAGCTCCAGCTCTGGGCAGCCCTCTGAATCCCAGGTGGCTCTTTACTCTGGGTTTCTTGTGGCCATGACTTCCTGGGCCTCAGGGTGTGTGTGCACATGTGCATGTCTATATATGCATGTGAATGTGTGTGCAGGTGTGTGTGCAGGTGTGCACTCTCTTCTGCATGTCATTGGGGATGCTGACAGAGGTCCTGGGCTCCCAGTATACCGTGACCCCTGCTGCTGCTGGCCCATCCCCTCCTGCCCTTTTGGTCCCCACCCTTCTCTCCCCAATTGTGACAAATGAACCCTAAGTTCTCCTCCCAAATGAACAGCCTGTCACCCCAGCAAACTCAGCTGGGATCTCTGGACCTCAGGTCCTCCATTGGGAGAGGAGCTGGGGCAGGGCTGCAGGGACAGGAATCACACGTTAGTTAGGGCACAGCAGATGCCAAGGTGAGCGGAACACACAGCCCTGCTCAGGAGGCCAGCTGCACACTTGTGTCCACTTGGCCTCTCACACCTCAGTGTCCCTGTCTGTGAGATGGAACGAGAGCTGTGCCTCTCTCCCAAGAACCAGGAGGGTCATGTGCAGTCAGAGGGAGCCTGGCACAGGGCGAAGTCCTGTGTGTCGGGCCATACGCTAGGTGGGCATCGTCAGCAGCCTCGGCCTCCAGACCACCATTTTGTTACTCACTATCGCTGGTAATTGGCCAACCGGGTTTTTAATGTGAAGTCAATCCTCCAGGATTAATGTGTATTGTAAACAATGGGGCTTCATCTACAAATAACTATGATGAACACCATTTTATTCTAATAAATAATAAATTCATTTGGGGAATAGACATCTAAATAGGTGCAGTTTCTAGAGCTTTGAACTCTTCTTCCAAACTTTAGAAATTCATCCATGGTCAGCAGATGTCTGTTGTGGTGCTTGGCCCCACTGACCTAGAGCAGGCTGGGGATGACGTGCCGTGGAAGGTAAGAGGATTTAGAGCCAGAAGACCAGATTCTGTGCCCCCATCGGCCTCTTGCTGACAGCCTAGTGAAGGTCACCTGGCCTCTCTGA